AACAGGATTTTCTGATCTGTGATAACACTTAAATATCCTTGGTCATTCAGACGCTATTCCACAGAAATCAAGGGACTCATGCAATCCCAGAAAACAGCCCTCCTAACAATAACATTACCTTCTCCAGCTTGAAGTGTTGCGGCAATGCAGTTGGGGTCCATGCTTGTTTTCGTCATGTGCGAACCCTGCCATCAGCATGCTGTAATTGAAAACGTGTTTCATCAGACCACACGACCTTTTTTCTGTCATCTACTGTCCAATCCTTATGCTCCTCTGAAAACTGGAGGTTTCTGTTCTTCTTCATGGCTGACAACAAAGGCTATTGAACACGTCGTTAGCTCCCATAGCCTATGCGGTGTAATGTGCGGTGCACAGTTTGTTCACAGACGTTCGCAGTTGCACCTTCATTAAGATTCCCCGCTTTTTGACGCAATGTTGCTCTTCTATTGAACGGGACAACTCAGGCAAGACACCTTTCAGCTCGAGCAGTCAGTAGCTTGTGACGGCTGCAAGTTTGACGCTGAGAAACGTTTTTCTGCTTGGTAGTCCACTCTCTGCATACATTAACAAATGCTGCTCTCAAAAAACTTCACAAGAGCAGCCGTTTTGCTGACAAGGGTTCCGACGTTTCGAGCGCCTACAATCATTTTGCATTCAAACTCAGTTAAGTCACGTTTTTTGCTCATATCTTCACGTGTAACTCAGTGCAATTGATGGTTCAATTGCTTTGAATTCCCTTTTTGAAGCTATCTCGCACTCTAGTGTATATATAGTACACTCTCTCTCTCTCTCGCTATATATATATATATATATAGAGAGAGAGAGAGAGAGAGATAGATACAGTCCCTGGAAAAATTATTAGACGCACTATATAATATTCTATGTAAAATCTTAATTATTATGTGATTCTAAGCAGCTTTTTTGTTTTGCTGAAACCGGTTTGTACTTGTTTACGTTCGTGTATCAATTGGTTAAATTAGACGATATATAATATAAATTCGACGATTGGATAAATTAGACTATATATCATATAAATATAGAATATTTACTATATTAGGTATTATATTATAATAATTAGACCAAATTATTAGACTCACTGCAGTTTTTTAGTAATTACATGCTTTGCACGAGTTTGTAGGCAAATGATTTTATATTTAAACATACATGTAATGAGTTTTTATTCGGGAGATTTTTTTTTATATACTTTGTAATTATTTTAAATGTATTGCATCATAATGTTAACCAATTGATACACGAACAAGTACAAACCGGTTTCAGCCGCGTAAAAGCGATAAAGCTGTATAGATATCACCTGATAATTAAGATTTTGCATAGAATCTTAATTATAGTGCGTTTAATAATTTGGCTCGGGACTGGTTATTTAAGCAGCATGTCCATTTTTAAACTTAGATGTAACAAACGTACAGTTTTAAACTATATATTTGTTATAAGTTTAAGGGTTATAAATTATGGCTTTTTTATTCTTTCTTTACTTTATTATTCTTCACTTTTCAAAACAGTTTCGAAAAGCTGTATCCTCAGATAACATCAATTTCATCTCATAATTAACATTCTGGAACTTTTCAACTAACAGATTCTATAAAAATCTTTCTAGCAGATATAATTAGAATAAATCAAATTATTTTCCACGGTGTTTTTTAGCAACTTCAAACCAATAGGCTTAGTGAAGCACTATCTAAATTATCTCTCGAAACAAAATGGCGATCTCAACCTAGTTGTGGAATTCATTGTAATTTGTGAAGCATGTTGCATACTTAACATTTCTAATTGATTTTTCTTTAAATAAGTTTTATTTACCAACGAATGTACACAATTTAAGGGAAAAATCTTTCTAAATAATCATATTTAGAGCCATTTGTTCTAATTTAAATATCTCGCATTCTTACAATGTCTCTCATTTTATTACGAATAGCATTCTTCATTTTTAGCTTCTTTTTTAGTAGACATCTTGTTTTCCTCAAAAGTCGAGAATTCAAAATGATTGCCCACGCCTGCAGTGAGCGCCTTTTTACTTCATTTGCCAGAAAGTTGTCTTTGTTTTAAGCCACTTAAATTTATTCTCGTGAAGAAAAAGGGATAGGCCTTCTTTTGTTCTCTTTTAAGGGGGCAAAAACATCCGAAAGAGCCTCTCACGTTTTGTAAAAGTTACAGTAATAATTGGATCAACTATTTAACCTCGAATTCTCAGTTAAAAACGTTGTTATAACGACGTAATCATTTTCTGAGATTTAGGCCGCTGTCACGTCAACTACGTGGAATGAAATAAATATCGTCTTTCCATGATTACAGTTGTTTTTCTTTTCAAAAGTTGATTGTTTATTGTTCCAATCTTAATTTTTTTTTAAGTCTTATCTTTTTTGAGTTTATAAAGTATTGCCCTTGCTTATTGAAGTACAGTCCCTGGCCAAATTATTCGACGAACTATAAGATTCTATGTAAAATCTTAATTATCAGGTGATACACTATACAGCTTTATTGTTTTTACGTGACTGAAACCGGTTTGCACTTGTTTACGTTACTGTATCAATGGGTTAAATTAGACGATGTATAATATAAACTAGACGATTGGATAAATTAGACGACATATTAGATAAATATAGAATATTTTTTATATTATTTATTATATTAGTAAATTTCAATAATTAGAACAAACTACTCGACGCACTGTAGTGTTTTAATAATGACATGTTTTGAAACGAGTTTATAGGCAATACTTGTAATGTTTCAACACACATGCAATGAGTTTTTTATATTCTTCCTATTTGCATTAATATATTATTTTGTAAACGTATCGCATTACGATGTTAACTAATTGATACACGACCATAAACAAGTGAAAATCGGTTTCAGCTACGTAAAAACAATAGAGCTGTATTGTATTACCTGATAATTATAATTTCACATAGAATCTTTTAGTACGTCTTATAATATGGCGGGAGAGTATATAAAATTGAGAATTAATTCCAACTTAGATCCCTCTGTTAACTAATCGTAAAATACAGTTACTAATAGATCACTGAAGTCAAGCATTGCTGGATGCTGTCAATAAGCGGGTGGGTGACCGCTTCGATTATCCTCGATTTCGTGAGTAGGCGTTCGAGCTACTAAAGGGAGGGGATAAGAAGCTGCTGCTTCCCTCTACTGAAGATCAAAATTGCGATGGCATTTCTCCGTGACGTCATTTCCTCATTGTGCAACTCTAGTGAGACATCAATAAAATACTATTACCAATTCCAAATTAGAAGCAGTAAACAGAACACTTTTAAATAAGAAAAAAACTATAAAATAGAATTGAAATTAAATATGTTTCAATCTGAATTTTATCATGAGCTTTCATGAAAAGGCCAGTTCAATAAAGGAGGATTCGTCCATTTTGACCATTTTTTAAAATTATAACTGCCTAAGAAAATGCATTGTTTATTTTTTTTAAAAAATCTTACAAATTACTTATCAATTAAAGTTATGCACATATTATCCAATAAGCATGGATAGTAAGACTTTTAACATCAAATACATTTTCTCATGACTATATTTATTTTGACTAAAGTCTTTTAAAGTATAAAGCGATGGATTAAAAAAGATTCCCCTTGTCGTACAATAAATCAAAATATATTTTTGAAAAAAAAAATTTTTAATTAATCATTTATGTTAAATTACCGATGTGACTTACCATTTTTTTAAGACTATACTATACGTAGTACTTTTGAACCACAAGTATAATATACACTTTAAGACGTTTCCATAAAATTTGTAGATTGGGTTCGTTAATTCATAAAGTCAACTCACTTCTTTGAGAGAAAAAGGTCGAATATCCGTAATTGCTTCAAAATTAGTAGAGTTAACCTTTAATTTATTTGGTTAATAGAGAGATTTTGCAAATCGTTACGGTTTCCTCTAACGTATGATTTATTAATTGAATCACGAGTGATTTATATATTGAAATATTTGTCACGTGAATTACGCGTGATTCAAGCTAATATTCCCTCATGAGTATTAAACGCGTGAATAAGATTAGATAAAATAAGGTTTGTATTAAATAAAGTTAGTGCTACTGTTAACATAAGACAAATTCTGTGCTAAATCTATCTATCATATAAGGCTTTCTAACTCAAATTGAGTGTGTATACACACGATAGACCGAAGAAAAAGATTCCTTTTTTTTTTCTTCGACCCTACACCCCGACTTGAAATAGTTATACCTCGTTGCCATAGTCACAGCCACTGGTCTAGACTACTGGCAAGGGGAGACCTTAGACAAACTATATTTTGTCTTGCACTCGCCATGAATTGATAAACAAAGCGACTGAGTCTCAAACAACGTCAAGATCGGAAAATAAAGTCAACTTTTATGAGTATAACGTTAATTTACGGTCATTGATCCTTCATTTTATGATAAAAATGTACAGGCAGATTTGTATTTTTTTGGAAATTCTAGCTTTGCGAGCATGAATTTGTTATTACGGTCAGTGGCTGTAACGTCCTTTACCGGTCACTGACCGTAATTTCACGGTTAATAACGTAATTTAACGGTTGATCGTAACGTAACGGTTTTTTGGAGTGTATTAAAATAATGTCCTTTGATTTATCTTCATTTAATAAGATATTTATTTCTAGGTGACGGACATGATTCGGGAGGGTGTCACTTTCATACGATGTGGAACTGGTGGACCTTATTATTAGTTCCTCTTTTCATCTTCAAGCTTTAGCGTACCAAAAAATAAAGAAGTTAATGGGGATGTCTCTCTAGTCATTGCCACGTTCGATGGCTCAAAATACTCTACAAACATGATTCCTGATACTTGTGTCTGATATGTACAGTATTAAAGAAATGTTAACTTGGTGTACACAATGTGCCAAAGAGAATTTATTATATAAGTGAGCTCACCAGAAAGAACAAAAGGGATTCCGATGTTCTGAATTAACCCGCTGATAATATGCATTGCCTCCGCTGCTATCCAAGTATCTCAAATGAGAGGCAAACCACGAAAATAATTTTAATTATTAGTGATGCGAGAACGGTACACTGTAAAAAAATTCCCGAAAAATTACGGAACCTGCACTTAAGGTGTTAGTAATTTTAACCGTAAAATCCATTTTCACCGTAAAATTTTACGGGATAGGTACCGTAATTCTTACCATAATATTTACTTTATCTCTATAATTCAGTAAATAGTACGGTATAAAATTTCAAGGTACTGTCATCCTGAGTGCCGGTACATTTTTCCGTAATTTTTCATAATTTTTTTTATAGTTTAGTACCCCTATCCTATATTCATGTGTTTTTGAAACGGTGCTGTGAACAACATGGCCGTCAACCCCCTAATTTTGAAACAGGTTTATAACAGCAACGAACTTTTGAAACCAGCCGAGGACATGAAATATTCTTGATTAGAGTTATATTGCGGTCAAGCTAACCGTCGGATATTTCCCTGTTTCCAATGCTTGGCACAATCAATCCTTTTAAATGGCATTCATGATTAAAATTACATTTTAGATTACATATGATTACATTTAAAGCTGAAATTTTAAGTACCTTTTTTATAATTCTTTATGTGTATATTTATTAATATATATTTATTATTATATTTATAAATATTCATTAAGTTATTTTCAATTAATTTTTAACCACAACAATCTAATATCTGAACTTTTTCTGTGAGTAATATAGCTTTATACTGAATAATTACTGTAAGATCTATATCACTTTCTGTGAGAATTATATTCAAATCTGTGAAAAAATATATTAAAGAATTGAAATTTAACAAGCAAAAAATTATTATAAAGATTTAAAACTGCAATAAGTATAATTTTTTTAAAAAACGAAACTCATTATTTACGGACACCAGTAACAAATTCATGCCTCTTAAAATAAATTGCATACATACAGCAATCTAATAAATAAAATTACGTTAGAAACTTAAAATAATCCGCATGCTTCACCCGTAAAAAAAACGCTTCTAAATAATAAAAAAATGAGCATTTTTAATAAATTAGAAAAAAAATAATCATATTTTAAGCTACAAATCCTTTTTTTCCCAGTTAACTTATCGCTTTTGAATTTTTAAATTAAACATTATAAAGATTTAATTCCCTAATTGGATTAGTGATTCTTAAAAATGTAAAAAGCATGATAATTTGTAAGCAAACTAAATTCTTAATTAGTTCAAAGAATGAAAGTACGCGAAATTAAAACCCAAACAATAGTTTTTTTAAGCAAGAATTATAAGTTAATTCTGCTTTAATGCCATCGTTGTGAAAAATATATGTATATTTGCATTGAAAATTTGTTTTTGAATTTAAAAAAAAATGTCTTATGTACATTCTTATTCATTTTATTGACTTACTCTAATCTAGTAAATTACAAAACACACATTCTCAAATTTATTCAAACTTTAAAATTTGAAGGAATCTTGTTATCTAATAATGACTGCATAATTCCTATAAACACTCATTGAGAACTTTTTACGTATTCATTGCTCGCAGTTACGCTTATTTCTCGGAAATAAAACTTTATTCCTTTGCAGGTTTTTTTTTATGGCGAAACAACATCGAAGAACCCATTTAAAACTAATGGCCAAAAGGCACAAAGACGAAATATTCTCAGAGAAAAAGAAAAACATTAATTTGACATTTCTGAGAAAGCTATTACAGCGTTTATTACAAATTCAAGAGCTTTCGCTAAATTTAATACTATTTTTTTTTCCTATTCCCCCCCCCCCCAATATCAAATTTTTATTTTCTTCTCAATTATTAAAAACATTTTTTTATATTCCCCGTTCAAGTGGTACAAGGAAAATCTTCAATTGAAAGTGACGAACTATTTTCAGATCTTTTTTCTTTACTACTTTAATTCTCGAGAACAGTTTTCGCAAATTTATTACGAAAAAAGAAAGTAATTGAACGCTTTTTTTTTCTTCTTAATTTCACGAAGCTATTACTCATTTCAATAGATGCTTTTTCAAAAAATTCGTATTTAAATATTCTAAAACCGAAAGTTGTTTCATGCAAAATTTAAATCAATACTTTTTTTCTAATTTAATTATACATTTCAATAAATCCAATTTTTATTAAATTTGAGAGTATTCCTTGCAGTTAACCAAATAAAATACGACTTTTATTCATCAATGAAATTCTTCCTTTTTTTTATCAAAAAAATAATTCTAATTTTAAGATTTTTATAAACGGAAAAAAGGATTTAACTCTGAACTAAAATAATATGTAATTCATTGAAATGTGTTCTTACTTCGATCTAGAACAGTAATTTGTAAGAATGTATTTTGAACGAAAACAATTATAATGATAATACTGTTACGTTTAACAAAAACAAATATTTGAAATAATATTAAATTAAGAAACATTTATAATAATTTAAAAGTATATAAATGTACAGATTTATTGCAAATATTTTAAGTATTTATACTCAAAAGTACGAGAGACGATCTAGAACAGTTATATGCAAGAATAATGCATGTACTCTGAACGATCATAACAATAATACTGTTACGTTTAACAAAAACAATAATTTGAAATAATGCTAATTTAAGAAGCATTTTTAATAATTTAAAAGTTTAACAATGTACAGAACTATTTAAAATATTTTGAGTATTTAATTGCCACACGAAATCAAAAATTATGTAATATGCCACCGAACAGCCTTTTCTTACTGTACTGGTGGCAGCTCGTGTTCATATGATCTAGTACTTTCATCTGTCTAAATTGTTATAATTTTATGTTTTCTTTTGTTTCTATTATTGTTATTATCATTATTATTATGTTTATCTTTTTTTTAACGAAACTTACGTAAAAATAGACACAACAAAACTAGCTGTTTTGTCGAGCTTGACAGACTCGGCAAACGGGTCGCCAAATCCTAAAGTATACTGAGTACGTCTAAGTAAGTATCCTTAAATAATAGCCAATGTGTGCCGATTTAGAGGGGGGCAAAAGATGTTAAGTATCCTTAGATTTTTAAGTAACCTTAAATAATAGCCGATAAGCTTCAATTTAGAGGGGGTAAAAGATTTTAAGTATCCTTTGATTTTTTAAGTACCCTTAAATAAATAGTATGCCGATTAAAGTGGGCAAATGATTTTAAGTATCCTTAGATTCTTTAAGTATCCTTAAATAATGTCCAATTTAGAAGGTGATGCATTCTTTTGTCAGCGGGATAATTCAACGCGAGCTCTATGTAAAGAGGATGACCTTGCAATATGTAAAAATGACTTGTAACAAATGATGTATCAATATTTAGCAAAACTGTAATTAATCTTCTATGTGAGCTGATATTTTATGGAAACGACCGATTGTGTCCTCCCCCCTTCTCCTGCGGATGGTTGACTGAATGTAAACAATAACAAGCTTCCTAAAAACCAGAAGAAATTTAGAAAAACTTCCGGTGTATCCCTCCGCTCGTGTTAGGCTTAGGAGGTGATGTGTGAACAGGCTTAGCGTTCTAGGACGATTTATTTTTTGTAATTTGGATTTAAATTTACGCGTAATTTTATCATTCATAAGGATTTTCTGTAATTATTAAAGTCTAACAGTTAGTGAGCCTACAACAAATTTAACAAAATTAATATCACGGCATAAATAAAGTGTAGCCATGTTGTGAGTTTTATTGGCTATGTTTGTGTAAAATAACACCGTTTGTTATTTTTTAGGTAGCATTATAGTAAGTTCGCGGAATCTTCCAAATTTATTACCCATTGGCAAAATGGGTCTCGTTTTGAGTTTGTTGGTGTTATCACACTTTTCAACTGTGAGTTGAAACAGCGTGAGTTTGATGGTTTGGACATAATCACACTGTGTTCAAGAGTAATAGTAGACAGCGCTCATGCGTCATCATTGCATGCGCTGCTATGGCAACCGCTGCTGTTTGATAGAATTATTTTTTTCACTTTTAATTTTATTATGCATTAAGTTGATGAGTTTATTTTTGAGATATGGGACCAGAGAGATCCCATAAATACTTCTTGAGTTGTGAATAAAAGAGAATTTCATCATTTGAACGATATTTTTGTTTTTATCGTTTTAATGAAGAATCAGAAATTCTAACGTACAGTTCAAACTGGATCGTGTTCAATACTAATTCAGGCGAACATCACAAATAAAGAGGGTCCCAAATTGATTGACCCGGTCCCAAACGTTAGAGTTGAAACAAGAAGAAAATATCGATGCCAAGACCTTAACTTTCCGGAACTGAAAAAGCTAAAGCCAAAGAACGTAAACAGAATTCTTACTGGAAAAAAAATTAGACAACAACCATTTTGCCATTGGGTAACCTGTAATCGCATTTCGGCGATCAATTATTTTTATTTTTCATAATGAATCTAGTTATGATTTCCTGGACAAAGAAAGACTGTTGAAAGAAAGTGTAATTGAAATCTTTACAAGTATAATAATATTGTTATGATCCCTTTTTTAAGCTTAGGCTTAAGAATCATTCGAAAGTAGTAACCGGGATGTCTTAACCTCTAGCGCCATCTGCGCTGAGCTTTACACAGTCAACCATCCATACTACTTACATATATATCACAAGTTAAAAACCTTTTGAATACCTCTATCTTCCTCCTTCCTGTGCATATTTTTTAAAACTTTTTACTTACATTGTGATACCTATAACCATAATCGTATCTTTCTGTAGAATAAACTTTTTAAGCTTTTTTAAAACGTTCGATTTCCCTCTTCCCTTCATATCCTCTATACTTCATGTTTGTTCTATATCATCAACTTGTTCTGAAAACGACCTTCTTTCTTGTGATAAATAATTAAGAAAACCTTCATGTACAATAAATAATCAGAATTTTATGTTTCTGTCTTTTTCTTTTTGTGTTCGATCAAAGGTGCTACTGTAATAATAAACGAACATTTGCTTGTGCTGTAATAAATGCTGCATATGCTGACGCAAACAAACTTTATTGACTGTATCCTTTCATTCATAATTCCAATACATCTTGGATAAGTCAGAACAATGTGTAAAGGGTGTCGCATATATGTTACGATTCATTTCTAGGGTAGGTAGAA